CTACGATAGATAGATAGATAGATAGATAGATAGATAGATAGATAGATAGATAGATAGATAGATAGATAGATAGATAGATAGATAGATAGATAGATACTTTATTGATCCCCAAGGGGAAATTCAAGGTCCCATTAGCTTAAGACTTCTTATCTTCTAGCTGCTTTTCAGCTCCTGGGAAACTTTAGACCCAAACGAGCCAAAACAGGGGGAGCTACTTCCTGTTTCCTCAGGATTCTGAGTGCATCATGGGAGTCCAGAGGGAGGAGAGGTGCATCATGGGAGTCCAGAGGGAGGAGAGGTGCATCATGGGAGTCAGGAGAGGTGCATCATGAGAGTCTGAGTGCATAACGGGAGTCAGGAGAGGTGCATCATGGGAGTCTGAGTCCATCATTATCTTAAACCAGCTACTTCTAGCTGCTTTTCAGCTCCGACCTGAGGAACTTTAGACCCAAACGAGCCGAAACAGGGGAATCTACTTCCTGTTTCCTCAGGATTGGAGACTCTGACTCTGTTTGTTTTTTCCCTCCTCTTCCTCCAGCTTTCACCTTCTTCGACCCCAACGACCCGGCCTGCCAGGAGATCCTGAGCGACCCGCGGACTAGCGTGCCCCAGCTGTTCGCCATCGTGCGCCAGTGGGTGCCCCAGGTGCAGCACAAGATCGACCTCATCGGCAACGAGGTGGGGCCTTAGCTTAGTGTAGCTTAGCTTAGTGTAGCTTAGCTTAGTGTAGTTTAACTTAGTGTAGCTTAGTTTATCTTAGTGTAGCTTAGTTTATCTTAGTGTAGCTTAGCTTAGTGTAGCTTAGCTTAGTGTTGCTTAACTTAGTGTAGTTTAGCTTAGTGTAGCTTAACTTAGTGTAGCTTAGCTTAGTGTAACTTAACTTAGTGTAGTTTAATTTAGTGTAGTTTAGCTTAGTGTAGCTTAGCTTAGTGTAGCTTAACTTAGTGTAGCTTAGCTTAGTTTATTGTAGCTTAGCTTAGCTTGTTTTAGCTTAGCTTATTGTAGCTTAGCTTAGTTTATTGTATCTTAGCTTAGCTGGTTTTATCTCAGCTTATTGTAGCTTTGGTTAGTTTATTGTAGCTTAGTTTAGTTTATTGTAGCTTAGCTTATTGTAGCTTTGGTTAGTTTAGTTTAGCTTAGTTTAGTTTATCTTAGTGTATCTTAGTTTAGTGTAGCTTAGTTTATCTTAGTGTAGCTTAGTTTATCTTAGTGTAGCTTAGTTTATCTTAGTGTAGCTTAGCTTGGTGTAACTTAGCTTAGTTTATTGTAGTTTAGCTTATTGTAGCTTAGCTTAGTTTTTTGTAGTTTATCTTATTGTAGTTTAGCTTATTGTATCTTATATTATTGTAGCTTATCTTATTGTAGATTATTTTAGTTAATTGTAGATTAGTTTATTGTAGCTGAGCTTAGTTTATTGTAGCTTAGCTTAGTTTATTGTAGCTTAGCTTATTATAGTCTAGCTTATTTTATTGTATGTTAGCTTAGTTTATTGTAGCTTAGCTTAGTTTATTGTAGTTTAGCTTAGTTGATTGTAGCTGACGTTGTTGTAGCTTAGCTTAGTGTATTGTAGTTTATCTTGGATAATTGTAGCTTAGCTTAGTGTATTGTAGTTTATCTTAGATAATTGTAGCTTAGCTTAGTTTATTGTGGCTTATCTTAGCGTATTGTAGCTTAGTTTAGCCTATTGTATCTTAATATATTGTAGCTTAGCTTAGTTTAGCTTAGTTTAATTGATCTTAGCTTATTGTATTTTAGTTTAGTTTATTATAGCTTAGTTTAGCTCAGCTTATTGTAGCTTAGCTTAGTTTATTGTAGTTTATCTTAGATAATTGTAGCTTAGCTTACTTTATTGTAGTTTACCTTAGCGTATTGTAGCTTAGTTTAGCCTATTGTATCTTAACTTATTGTATCTTAGCTTAGTTTAGCTTAGTTTATTTGATCTTAGCTTATTGTAGTTTAGTTTAGTTTATTGTATCTTAACTTATTGTATCTTAGCTTAGTTTAGCTAAGTTTATTGTAGCTTAACTTATTTTAGCTTAGCTTGACTCATTGTTGTTTAGCTCAATTTATTGTAGCTTAGCTTAGTTTATTGTAGCTTAGCTTGGCTTATTGTAGTTTATCTTAGTTTATTGTAGCTTAACTTATTGTAGCTTAGCTTAGTTTATTGTAACTTAGCTTAGTTTATTGTAGCTTAGCTTGGCTTATTGTAGCTTAGCTTGGCTTATTGTAGCTTAGCTTAGTTCGTTGTAGTTTATCTTAGTTTATTCTAGCTTATCTTATTGAAGCTTATCTTAGTTTATTTTAGCTTAGCTCATTGTGGCTTGATTTAGCTAAGCAGATTGTAGCTTAGTTTAGCTCATCTTATTGTATCTTACTTTAGCTTAGTTTGTTTTAGCCTAGTTTATCTTAGTTTATCTTATCTTAACTTAGTTTATTTAGTCTTGGTACAGTTGATCTTAGTTTAGTTTAGCTAATTTTATTTCAGCTAAGCTTAGTATATATCTTATTATATCTTAAAAAAAGATGTGCTCTGACCTCTGACCCTGATGCAGAACACAGTCACCAGCTAATGCTAACGCTAGTGCTTCAGTTTCTGAGGGGGAAAGATGTGCTCTGACCTCTGACCCTGATACAGAACAGTCAGCAGCTAATGCTAACGCTAACCCCAGTGCTTCCCCTCCTCCGCTGTAGATCCTGAAGCGCGGTTGCCATGTCAACGACCGCGACGGCCTGACCGACATGACGCTGCTGCACTATAGCTGTAAAGCCGGCGCACACGGAGTCGGTGAGCGTCCTCCATCAGAACGGCTGGGACTTTATAGCTGCTCCCAACTTTTTCTCACTGGTTTATGAAAGTGCAGACATCCATCTGATGGTTCCAAACGTTTATTAACGGACTTGCCGTAATGCAAACGCCCAAGACCACCGTGAACACTGCAAAATACGCGGTGGAAAATATACATCAATAAAACCTACATGAATTATCAAATGAAACTTATTAAACAAAATATACATTTTCTAAATTGTCCGTACCGTATGCCCCTCCAACCAGAAGGTTAGGAGTTACTAGAAGTCCATTTCTTCCGTTTTTCCGTCCTTTGCCTTTTCTCTTTCACACGCAGACTAATTATAAACAAACTCAGAATTTCCTATCAAAGGCATCACGTGATCAAGTGAAAACCCAATCGGTGACGTCTCCATTAGGGATGGGAATCTTCACCACCAAGGCGATACGATACACATCTCGATACACAGCCAACGATTCGATACATTCACGATTCATGGGATTTCTAGTGATAAGATCCGATACGATTCTCCAACCTCCTGCGATCCGGTGCGATACAGAACGATCTAAATTTAAAATGCTGCGATACAGTGCGATACGATACGATACGATACGATACAATGCAGAAGAAAAGTACACCATGGACTACATAGTTCAAGTTATGGCACGCAAGCTAACTGTGCCTTTTATTTTGAAACAAAGGAAGTGCAACTTAGAGAGTGATTGTCTCTCTGAATGGAAACAGGGATGGAAAGAAACGCAACTAAAACTCAAAGACACGTTTCTAAAAAGTTATAATAATAGAAGATAATAATCGGTTTGTATCGATGCAGGTAGTTTTATACGATGCATCTCGAGTTTATGTGCGGTTTTTACCGATGCAGACGTTTGCAAATCGATGCAACCGTATCGCACAGGTCGTTCCGATGTTCCGATACGCATCGGTGAATCTTGCCATGCCTAGTCTCCATATAACATTGTTACAATATTTCCCCAAGTATTTACATATTAATCGAAAATACACAAAGATATGAAATAGATATTAAAAGTAAAACATATTCATATTCACAAAATAAAATAAATTCACACAGAAAAAATGCCCATGTAACTGCGTTAGGTACAGACTTGCTTCCCTCAGGGACAGTTGAGGGGTTTCTGTTAGCATAGAATTTGAACATTTGTGTGTAAATTTGAACATTTTTGGAGGAACTTTGAAAATTCCTGAAGGAACTTTCTGTTAGAATTCACACATTTCTGCATGAATTTGAACATTTTTGTTGGAATTCCTGCAGAATTTATTCTGGAATTTGAACATTTCTGAAGGAGTTTTAGAAAATTTCTGCTAGAATTTGAACATTTTTTCAAGAATTTGAACTCTTCTGCAGGAATTGTTTAGGATTTCTGAAGGAATTTTGAACATTTCTGCAGGTATTTTAATACTTCAGCAGAATTTTTAACATTTCTATTGGATTATGAACATTTTTGCAGGATTTTTGAACATTTCTGCTGGCATTTGACAATTTCTTCAAGAATGTGAACTTTTCTGAAGGAATTTCTAAAAATTAATGTTACTATTTGAACATTTCAGTAGGTATTTGAATATTTCTGCAGAATTTTGAACATTAACGGTAGAATTTGAAAATTTCTTTAAGAATTTGAATATTTATTTCTGAGGGAACTTTTGATTATTTCTGCAGAATTTGAACATCTCTTCTGGAATTTTTTAACATTTCTTCTAGAATTTGAACATTTCTTCAGCATTTTGGTCATTTCTTCAGGACTCTGATCATTCCTCTGATCATACCTTGTGGCTCAGGCTTATTCCCGCCTTATTCCCGTCTTATTCCCGCCTAATACCCTGTTTATGATAGAATTCACACATTTCTGCAGGAATTTGAACATTTATGGTCGAATTTTTAAAATTTAGCAGGAATTTTTTTAAATTCCTGTAGGAAATTTTGAAATTTTCAGAAGGAATTTTTGAAAAATTCGGTTAGAATACACACATTTCTGCAGGAATTTTAACATTTTTCATCATTTTTCTGAATTTTGTCCCGGCTTATTCCCGCCTTATTCCCGTCTTATTCCCGTTTTATTCCCGTCTTATTCCCGTCTCATTCCCGTCTCATTCCCTGCCTATTCCCTTCTTATTCCCGGCTTATTCCCGCCTTATTCCCGTCCTATTCCCGCCTAATTCCCGTCTCATTCCCGGCTTATTCCCGTAGGCGACCCTGCGGCGGCCCTGCGCCTGAGCAGCCGGCTGATCTCTCTGGGCGCTGACGTGAGTCTGCGCAGCCGCTGGACCAACATGAACGCGCTTCACTACGCCGCCTACTTCGACGTTCCCGAGCTCATCCGGGTCCTGCTGAAGGCCGCCAAGCCCAGAGGTAACCCCCAACCCTAACCCTAACCCTAACCCTAACCCTAACCCTAATCCTAACCCTAA